ATTTGGGCCACCTGATTTATTCCTGCGTTGTAGCTCTGAAGGAAAGTCATTCAACAGGAACTGTTTATTTATGCTAACTGACGATAGTGTCAATTACGAATCCAATCCCGTCGTATGGGAGGTACCTTGTGGGATTAAGGAACATGCAGGAGTAGTATTCGCTGTCACATTTCTTATTGCTATTGTGACAGCTCTTCTTATTGTCTTGACGTCTATTTATCATTAGCATTACCCGGTTCTTGAATGATTTGAAACATTTCTAGACTATTTTTGCCTCGATGATCTTCTACCATGGATCCCCTTGCAAGGTATGGGACTTGAATCCCACATCAAAAGTATGAGCTTTCTTGTGTGTGAATTATATAGGTTTGAGCTCTTCAGCTTCAACAATTTGCTTTTAAGTTATGGCTCTCCCAAAATCTATATCAATGGTATTAGAGCGGGCATCACGTTTCCCAGTTATAATCAAGCGGCGCAGATGGTGACGTCGACGTAGCAGTGTTCATTTGAGACTAATCATGGGCTAATGCAAAGTCAGTCTGGCGTAAGCACAAGATCGCAGAGAGTGGTGGATTATGACGGTTCCTATTGCAAAGTATGAGACTTGAATCTAACATTGAAAATATGAGCTTTCAATGTGAGTTATATGGATTTGGATTCTTCAACTTCAAAAGCTAGACTTTCCCAAGATTTGTATCATCATCATTTAATAACACGTGTCTAATTGGGCATTGATGATGTCAATTGAATTGAACATTGCTATAATTAGAATTCTAGTACTCTTTCATGACCAGTTTCGCAGGTTGCTCAGTTTGGTCTACGCTTATACGTGATATGGTCTATGTTTTTATGTGCTATTTTCAGGGCACAACATATGGTTGACGCAATTTGAGACACGGGTTTTTCCTTTTTATGTAATATTGAGTTGTACAGTTTTATTACCATATTTTCTTGCTGAAAACCAGATCTATTTTCCATCTTTTCTTCGTTGAGCATTTACATTTCAATCATAGTCTACTAGAATATCTGGTGACAGTGGCGGTGGAGATGGACAGAGATTTTGAGTAGCGATGAAATGTGCAAAACAAAAACAAAAAAAGAATTATTTGTGTTAAAATGTCAGGAAAAATGTTGGTCTAATAGTGCAGAAGAGATCAAAGGTTGATGACCATTGTAAATTTTACATTTTTCAGAATTATTATATGTGGAAATTACAAGTTCTAATAGATTAAAAATCTCAATTTCATAAATAAGATGTAATGTTTAATATTTCACAAATCAAAATTTTTTTTATTTAATTAATATATTTAAAATTTAACCTAATAAATAATAATTTCAAACTCTATTTATTCTCAAAATCCTAATTATTCTCCGTTTTCATTTCCCCCTACCCCCAATTCTGTCTCTCACGTCTCTCTCTCTCTCAACTGCCCGACGACTGGTGATGGAGAACCGACAATAAAGAGTTGCTTCGTTGCAGCGTCGCCGACCATGGAGGAGCTACTCCGTTGCAGTGTCGACGAACTGGTAGCGATTTGAGGAGATCTTACAATCGGAGGAATTGCCCATCGCGATTTGTGGTGGATCTATGGTGGCTGGGGCGGTGTGTGCGCGCCGGCGGCGGCCTGAGGTTGCGGTGGTTTTGTGTGAGACGGTGACGGTGGGTGGTGGTGTGATGGTGGATCTACTGGGTACTCAGGTACAGTAGTGTTTGGAGTGGTGGCCGACGGTGGGGGTCATGGCGGTGGTAAGGGTGAGATGTTGGTAGTTGCAGGTCGTGGTGGTGACGGCAGTGAGGTGGTGGTGTTGTTGGCATTCAGAGAATTGATGATGATGTTGGTCGTGGTCATGGTGGTAGGGCGATGATTTTGGGCTGTTGCGGTTTGTTCATTTTGTTAGATTTGACGGCGGAGTGGGTTTCGTTGGCAGTAGAGGAGGTGGTGCTGGCTGCGGTGGCAAAGATGTTGGCTATGCTGAAAATTGTGACTATGACTCCCAATTGTGACTCGAAATTGGATGTGACCTAAAAATTGTGATTGTGATTCCCAATTGTAACTCACAATTTGGAAGTCACAATTGGTCGTGATAGTGGTTGTGGTGGTCATGGTGATTGGGTTGATTTGTGACTCACAATTAAATACGTGACCTGAAAGTGTGTCAATCACAATTGGATACGTGACCTGAAAATTGTAACTGTGAATCTTAAGTGTTGGTAGTGGTCACAAATTATTTGGTTGATTGTGATCATTAAATTGGTTAATATGTGATCAATGAAAAAGATAAATTGTGATCGAAAAATAAGGCGTGACCTAATAAATTGTTAATCTATAATCGATAATTTGCGACTGTATAATAAGTTATGATTTGTAATATTTGTGATTTGTGATCAATAAATAAATCGTAACTTATAAATTTTTCGATTTGTGATCGATGAACAAAATGTGACCTATAAATTTTTTGAATTGTGATCGTAAAATAATTTGTGACTTAAAATTTCTGATTTGTGATAAAAAAAATAATAAGTGACGAATTAAATCGTTAATTTGTGATCAAATTATATAAATCAGTGACTTAAATAGATTTAATTTCTAAATTAATTAATTAAATTATAAATAATTTTTAATAAAAATATGGTTTTTAAAATTTGAAACTTATTTTATTATTTTTGAAATATGCCTTAATATCTTATTTATGAAATTTTCCCTTATTATATTATAGATGGCAATAGGTCCGGACTGCCCATACACCTATGGGTTTGATTTGTCCAAGCTCATTTCTGAGCCCCATATTTAGAGGGCCAAAGGCCGGCATGACTAGTCCACTGGCAGGTATAAAGCTTGTGATTGTAGCCTCGATGTCTTGTTATAATAAAGGCCCTATAAACCGGTCTAATTAAACCCATTATTTTTATAAAGGATAATTTCACAAAAACCTTACTTTGTCCAAAAAAAACTTTTAAAATACCTCTTTTTTATTAAAAAATACAATGACTTCATTTTCATTTAAAATCAGTATTTCTTTTTTTCATTGAAAACCAACATTTTTTACAAATTATATGTTAAGCTAATTGTGTGTTATTGTGTTGTGAAATAACATTAAAATATTATTTTTTTGTAAAGAAATATATACGTTTTTATGTTATTTATTTTTTTTGGTATGTAGACTAACAGATATGTTCGTTATTTCATGATTTGTATTGTAACTGTGTTGCTGCTTGGGGTAAGATTATGCATTGTGTTGCTAATCCATCCTAAATTTTAATACCTTCTTGCCGTGTTCCATCATTGTCGTAGCATTCTACCACCACCAATTGGATTAGACTTTCTCCGATCTCAACCATCTTTCACTTTTCTTCCCTATCAAAATGATTCCAATTATTCATAGAGATGACAATCAGCATCACCTAGCCTCGCTTACAAAGACCATCATCCCCTTCACACTTTATCCCCATGCATATATCCCCAAATCATTTTCTATTGAATACTCTTTTCATAATAATTATTAAGTTAAATTAATCCCCCCAAATCAGAACCCTGACACTTATAAACGAATGGCGACCCCAAAACATCGCCAACCTCTTTACCACCACTCCTTGTCATTATTTTATCAACACATAGCATGTTACCAATGTAGAAGATAGGTGAGATGGGGAGAATACAATATGTTATCACTCGGCTATACATATCCATCCAAAATTGACCATCATCGCACCAAATCGACCATCGCATTCCATAATCATGTTTAACAATAGCGTGCAATCATCACCATCTCCATGCCACAATAACTACCAAGATCACCTTGCATCGATTGGAATCAAAGCATTGATAAATAAAAGAAATCAAAAATAAAATTACCTCATTAAATCAATTTGTGGTCTTGTTCAAAGAAAAAGAATCTTTGTTGAAATAGCATATGGGCCCATATCATTCATTACACGTAATTTCTGTTAGAGTGCGTTTGATTGAAATGGGAAATATCATTTAGAAAAGAAAATGTTTTCCATCTTTTGTAGAAAATAAAAATCACCTTTATCTAAGGAAAATATTTTCCTTAAAAACAAGGAAAATTAGGCATATTTTCAAAAGTTGGAAAATATTTTTCATGGAAAAAAATAGCAATCAAACACTTCAAGTAGAAATTTGGGTGAAAAATTGATATTTTCCAAGTAAAATAAATGTAATCAAACACACTATTATAGATTGTTGAATTTCAAGCCTTTGCGGGAATCAAGGTGTCGATGGTGATTACGTGGTAGTATGTGGCATTGACAATAGTTGTGATGATGACAATTATGACATTGGCCCATGTTTGGCCTCCATTTTGTGAAAATGAAAATGAGTGGAATAATATTTTTGAAATGTGTGGTTGAAAAAGAAGGAAAAATTTTCGATTTATATGTAATATTATTTTATGAAAGATTGTGTGGTTGAAAATAGGAGAGAAAAAAAATGAAATGAAATAAAATAAAATGAAAATTAATGCAGGCCAAATAGGGGCTAGGTTTCAAACTATAGAGGAGAGATCACATCAAGAAAAACTATGCATCGTCTAAAGAGAGGAAAATGAAATGTGAATAGGGTAAATATGGTAAAATAGTGTTTTTTTTTTCTTTTTAATTAGGGTAAGTTATAACAAGATTGAAAGGGGAGTATAATTCGAGTATTTTTTTTTTAAAAATAAAAATTGGGTATTTGATTTGAGAGAATTATTCCATTTCATGAGACGTAAGATTAGCCTTCATTTGGGCTCTACTTTTGTAAACATATATTTTTTTTTATTTTTTATTTTTAACAACATATTTTTAATAAAATAATATTATACGTAAATTCAAAATTTTTTCTTATTTTTAAATTACACATTTTTCATAAAAATTACTATTGAAAAAATAATTTTCTCCCAAAATTTAATTTTAACGGGGCTAGAAGGGGTTGGCCGTGGCCAGGCCCTATAAGTTAACGGGTACTACCTGAATGGTCACCCCAACCAATCATAAATCAGAAAGAATAAAATATGACGACAATAAGAAAACGCACAAAAGGAAAGTCGTCATCCCCGAAATCCCCATACCCTGTCAGTCTGCTCCTCAGTACCCCTAAATAATTACAATAAAAAAGGGGAATTGATTTAAAAGGCCAAGTCAAACTGAACATTAGTTTGAAAAGACCAACAACTATGTTTCTTAGTTAAAAGGCCTAAAGTTATAAAATATGAAAAATATAATTTGTAAAGGATTAAAATGACCTTGTATACAAAAGGTCATTATTGCCCTTATACTCATTTCAATTTCCATTGAATCCTACTTGAAATCTCCTTTTATCCTTTCAATTTCCATTTAGCCCTAATTCAATATTGACTTCCATTCCTTCCACAGGTCGATCTCTCTATGCAAATATTCTCCTTTCCTTTCCTTCTCTTCATCTTCTTTTCCTTCATGGAACTCCAAAATCTACATATTATTCCCTTGAAAACTCATTTGGTTGAGTGGGTAATCAAAACTTGCAACATCTTCTTTTTTGTTATATTTAATTATTTCCTCATTTTTATTTGGCATTCGATGGGCAAATCCTAGCGACCATCAGTGTGGCATTTGAACCAAGTGGTCTTGAGAAATATCTCATAATAGCATCACATGTATATTGGGTTATTCCTTTTAATGGGAATTTATGTCCCCAATTTTCTGTCAGTGAAGAACAGTTTTGCTGTGATATTAAGGGAGATGCATTTTATATTGGAAGTTCCTGTGGGTGAATATTTCTGCTATCCCTTTTGGAGCAATTAAGTACTTATTAACTGTACAATCTTTGTTCTTAATTGTTTTTGTTTTGATAAGATCAAGACTCACTCTGTCAGAACATATTGCACTTAGGAATTTTGACGTGGCTTCCTATATAATGTTGAAAGTTTGTGCCAATGTTGTGACATATTTGATATAGAAAGCTAGCTATTTAATTATTGATGTTATATTGATAAAAAATATAAAAAAAATGAAATTTGTATGTAAAATTTTCATAGTATGTGTTATAATAACAATAATTAATACTAATTGAGTTTTTACCTTTTATAATTAAATGCCCGACCCAAGTTTGAAAGGATGAGTAATTCTTAAACGGATTGAGTGTACACATCCGATTTTAAGATGCACCCTCTTTCATTCATGAATTTACTTAAGCAATTCTTGGACACTCGATAAATATGAAGTTTACTTTAAAATACAACCAATATCTAATAATACTCCTCTAGCCATTAGCTTTGCCACTTAAAACCAAATAAAAAGAGATGGAGAAATCAAATTTTATTTGGTACGTGCTTTCACATTACCCTTCATTTTCTCTTCGAGTTATATATCATACTCTTAAAGGATTGTATCATGTTCAATACATCAATGGCTAACTACTTAACTCGTCAAATTTGTACTAAAACGATATGAATGTCGTTACTTTATTTGTGATTTTGATACATAACGATATAAATATCGTTTCAACACAATTTTGACGACGTTGATATCGTTTTAGTTTAAATCATAACTAAAACTACACGCATATCGTTTCAGTTAAAATAAAACGACACTTATATCATTTTTGCTAAAAATAATGATTCGACCGTCCACGACCACCAAACATGCATCTGACATATGTAGGATGATCATAATAGGTAATCAAGTGGGTTTGATCTCCCTTAAAAGAAACTATGAGAACATTTTTGTTCTCATGATTGTATACCATCTTCAAACTATTACGACAGGAAGCATTTTCGTTTGCTCTTTCCAAGTCATTCGAGTGGTATCAACCCACTTGATGACATCTTTCGATCGTCCTACGTATCCTAAAGGTATGATGGGTGGTTGTGGACGGTCGAATAGTTATTTTTATCCAGAACGATATAATTATCGTTTTATATGAAAAGAAACGATATCTACGTCGTTATACTCGTGATTTGAATTGAAACGATTTCAAACTCGTCAAATTTGTACTAAAACGATATGAATGTCGTTACTTTATTTGTGATTTTGATACATAACGATATCAATATCGTTTCAATACAATTTTGACGACGTTGATATCGTTTTAGTTTAAATCATAACTAAAATTACACGCATATCGTTTCAGTTAAAATAAAACGATACTTATATCGTTTTTGCCAAAAATAATGATTCCACCGTCCACGACCACCGAACATGCATTTGACATATGTAGGATGATCAAAATAGGTAATCAAGTGGGTTCGATCTCCTTTAAAAGAAATTATGAGAACATTTTTGTTCTCATGATTGTATACCATCTTCAAACCATTCCGACAGAAATTATTTTCGTTTCCAAGTCATTCGAGTGGTATCAACCCACTTGATGACCTCTTTCGATCGTCCTACGTATCCTAAAGGTATGGCGGGTGGTTGTGGACGGTCGAATCGTTATTTTTATCCAGAACGATATAATTATCGTTTTATATGAAAAGAAACGATATCTACGTCGTTATACTTGTGATTTGAATTGGAACGATTTCAAACTCGTCAAATTTGTACTAAAACGATATGAATGTCGTTACTTTATTTGTGATTTTGATACATAACGATATCAATATCGTTTCAATACAATTTTGACGACGTTGATATCGTTTTAGTTTAAATCATAACTAAAACTACACGCATATCGTTTCAGTTAAAATAAAACGATACATATATCGTTTTTGCTAAAAATAATGATTCGACCGTCCAGGACCACCGAACATGCATCTGACATATGTAGGATGATCAAAATAGGTAATCAAGTGGGTTCGATCTCCCTTAAAAGAAACTATGAGAACATTTTTGTTCTCATGATTGTATATCACCTTCGAACTATTCTGACAGAAGTATCTTCGTTTGTTCTTTCTAAGTCATTCGAGTGGTATCAACCCACTTGATAACATTTTTCGATCGTCCTACGTATGTTGAAGGCATGACGGATGGTTGTGGACGGTCGAATCATTATTTTTAGCTAGAACGATATAATTATCGTTTTATATGAGAAGAAACGATATCTACGTCGTTATACTTGTGAATTGAATTGGAACGATTTCAAACTCGTCAAATTTGTACTAAAACGATATGAATGTTGTTACTTTATTTGTGATTTTGACAATTAACGATATCATTATCGTTTCAATACAAGTTTGACGATGTTGATATCATTTTAACTTAACTCATAACTAAGACTACATATATATCGTTTCAATTAAAATAAAACAACAATTATATCGTTTATGCTAAAAATAACGATTCGACTATCCATGACCACCAGTCGTGCATCTGGTATATGTAGGATGATAAAAATAGATAATCAAGTGGGTTCGATCTCCCTCAAAAGAAACTATGAGAACATTTTTGTTCTAATGATTATATACCACCTTCGAATTATTCAAACAAAAAGTATTTTCGTTCACTCTTTTTAAGTCATTCGAGCTCTATCAATTCACTTAATGATATTTTTCGATCGTTCTACGTATGTTGAAGCATAACAGGTGATTGTAAACGGTCGAATCTTTATATTTAGTTTGAACGATATAAATATTGTTTTATATGAAAATAAATGATATCTATGTCATTATCATTGTGATTTGAATTAGAACGATTTCAAACTCATTAAATTTGTACTATGACGATTTGAATGTCGTTGTCTTATTTTGTGGGTTTGATACATAACGATACTATTATTGTTTTAGTACAATTTTGATAACATTGATATCGCTTTAATTTAAATTTTAACTAAAACGATAATTATAAAAACGACGATTCGATCGTCCACGATCAATTATATGTAAATTTCAATTACATTTAATATCGTAGTTATAACATTCTAGTGTAATCACTTCTGAAACGATATGTATGACATTATAGTTACGATTGAATAGGAACGATATCATTGTCGTCGAAAATTGTATTAAAACGACATAAACGTTGTTTACTTATTTCATAACGTGCGCTTAAACATGTTAAACAGTGAAGTAATATGTATTCGATATCGGAACGACATATACATCGTTTTTAGTACTTCAGGAACGAGTTCAATGTCGTTATACAAATCAATTAAGCAGAGTGTATTTGATGCTGAAATGATATCGAAGTCGTTTTATATTTCATTTCAGGAACGATTTCAATGTCTTACGCAAATCAGTAAAATAGTATCAGCAGCTCATTTCCATTTCACATTTTTATTAAGTTGATAAGTTATAGTTTACGATTTTTTCAAACTGCAATATCTTCGTGCTGGCTTATTCGAATCGACTTTTTCTCGAGTCGAATAGTTCTTATTAATTACAAACTTTAAAATGAGTACAAATCGATATACTGCATCGCTTTTTATTAAAATCTAATTATTGGACTTTAAATAAGATATAATTTAAAAAATATTTTTTTGTCCATTTTTTTTCCAAAATATAACAATAAATTTATTTTAAAAAATTTCGTGCTTCATAATATGTGTTTAATGAATAAATGACTCAATAATTATTTTCGACTACTTGCTAAGTTATGGACAATGTTAAAACTTTGATTGCATTGGAGATCAATTACGAAAAAGAGATGACCTGAAACTTAAAAAGAAGAGTTTGAATTCTAAAGAGAAGATGATTTTGAAAAGGAAGATTTTTTGAATTTAAAGGAGAGAATGTTGTGTGTGATAGAACATGAATACATAGTTATTAGAGCTAACCCAATGATCAACTAAAAAAAATCACCGAGTCAATGGTTCAATTGATGGGTTATTGTTAAATTTTAATTTTAATTAAATTTTATTTTTGAAGTGAGAATAAAACAATTTTTTGAAATGTAATATATATATATTTTGCTCATAGGAAACAAAGGACCATCATTTGCCATAATGGTTGTGGAGTCAAAATATTTTATTGCATTCCAAGGTTCAAGTCATGGCTCCAACAAATTTAGAAAAAACTCCAATTTTTTTCTTCATTTTTGTTTTACAAGTTAAGGGTAAAGAAGTCTTTTAAGACTTTTAAATAATTAAAACTCCTTTTATTTTTATAAATTTGGTCAAAGGCTAGTTGAACAAAATGTACATTAAAGTGGCCTTCCCAACTTATTTTCCCAATAAAAAACATTAAACCTCTCTGATTCAACCATCTTGCCGATCAATCGATCGATTCAATTCGATTTGCCATTGCTATTTGGCAAAAGTGGGAGGAAAAGAGAATTAGGAAGAAAAAAAATGCACTCTTTCGGGTACAGAGCCAACGCTTTACTGACCTTCGCCGTCACAATTCTGGCGCTGATGTGCGCCATGGCCTCTCTCTCCGACAACTTCAATTCGCCTTCTCCCACCGCCGAAGTTCAAGTATACTTTGCTGCCTGCACATGCACAAGAGTTTTCTTATTTATTTATTTTTGTATATTATGGTGAATAAATTTCTAGATCTGTAATTCTGTAGAAGTTTGTTGGTTGGAGAATTTGTATTTATTTGATGTAATGTTGGCGCGATTTAGGTGTTGAATATTAATTGGTTCCAGAAGAAACCTGATGGTGATGATGAGGTAATTCTGCCTATCTGTCGTGTATATATCTATAATTTAATTATCATTTTGTCCTTTTGTATTAGAGTTATTCTGATTTTTTTTTTCTATGGGTATTTTTGCGTAATATTTTTGTAATCACTTATTGTGAATTTGATTTTATTATAGTAAGACGGGGGAAGAGCATTTAGTTTAAATTGCGTTGGGTGGATTTTTCATACCCTTATAACTTAGAAGGAATTTCCTACTAATCCTAAAAGGGTTGAGACTTGACTGGAGGTCCGGAGCCCATAGTTTCCATGGTTTACCCTCATTTTATGGGAGATTTACTAAGGATTCTAGTACCATCACTGCTTGAGTTAATCAAGAATGGAGAGTTTCATATATCTATGCACCCTATTGAAAGTGTAAATAAAATGAAAGTTAGAACAGAATGTAATAGGTTCAATATTTCGCAACCACTTTTGAGCTTTTATTTTAGTTATTTTATTTGTTTTGTTACGCATAGAAGAAAAACAATTATGACAAAAAATCTATAAAGTCTGCTGTCTACTGACTTCTGCATTTGAAAATTTGAATATTGTTGATAACTAATAAGTATTTCATGTTTACATATTTTTATTATATTTCTACCTTCAAAATCAAAATAGTTGTTTTTTGTTACTTATGTTCTTGCTCCTGAGTGTAATTAAAAGTTGATGTAATTCTGGGTTAAATCAAGTTCTTGAACTTATGGATTTAGATCAAGCTTTTAGCCTTTAAACTTTCATGCGATGCTCCAATAGCCAAATGAAATGGATGGATTTATACAGCACAACCAACATGACTGCCATGAGATAGAGCAGTTAGCAATTTGAAACTTTCTGCTGCTAGTCTGTCAGCTTCTTGTTTCCCGGGATGATAAATATAAACTAGAAGCTACACTGTTTGTTGTCTAACCAGTACATTTCCGTACATGCAGGTCAGTTTGACTCTGAATATATCGGCAAACTTACAAACTTTGTTCACGTGGAATACAAAGCAGGTTTGTGATCTATGGAATATTATGTTCACTTTTGCATGACTTGTCTGGAGGAAGAGTACTTTTTGTTTTGTGTAAAAGCCCCATGAGATGATGTTGCTTTGATTTTGGTTTTTTGTAGCTTGTCTGTTTGATATTCATAAATATTGGTTCACCGAGATGAGACTATAGTATCATTCTTTACCGGATAAGTTTTGACTTAAGATTGGAACATATTTTCCTATGTTGATGGAAAGATGGATTGCTTCGTCAACAATTTCTTTGCCTTTTTACCTGAGCCACAACTTGAGTTGCGTAGAAATAGTTTTTAATGTACTTTCCTTTTTTATGGTAAGAACATATTATCACTTTGTTACCTGATTTTTGTGGCTTAAGTTTGAAGCACATTAACCTTTGTTGCTGGAAAGATGGATGGTTTATCGTCACTTCTTTGCCTTTTCACCTAAGCCCCACCTCAGTAGCATATAAGTAGTTTCTTAATGTACTTTCCTTTTTTTAAGATTGCATTTTCCTGTTCGACAAATCTATCTTTCTGATGCCCCCACTTTCTTCTCAAAAAACTAAGGGAAAAAGCTTCTTGTAAATCTGCTCTTTCCAGATTTGGTGAGGTGTCATTTAAATAAAGTTAACTTCTTAATATGTAACTCTAGCCCCATCATCTTTAGAAATAGGGCTTTTTGAGTTCATTTGGATATAACAAAAATCTGGAATTTGCAGGTTTTTGTATTTTTAGCAGCTGAGTATGAAACCCCAAAGAACGGGCTGAATCAGGTATGCACATTATAATTTCTGGACTTATGTTTTGTGTTGCAATCGATTCGATGGCTTGTGGTTATCAATCTGCCTGTGTTTATAGCATATGGAAGCATCGTGTATGTTAATATATCTATGGTTGTCATTACTGTTATCTATTCTACATTATGGATAAGCCTCCAAATTTTTTTTTCAAGGCGGATGTGATTATAGATTTGATGTTCACAAACTTGTCCTTGTGCATTCTCTCTGCCTTTTATGATATGTTTCTGTCCATGGTGTAATCATTAAGCAAATTGCTGGTGAAATCAAACCAATGGATGCTTTTTCCTTTTATGGTGAATCTACCCAAGTAATTTCATGGAATTGTATAATATGACCACTAGATCTACATGTTTAGTTGGTTGTTGTTGCTCTAAGTAGTTATTGTCTTATAAGTTATTGAATCTTGAGTGATAAATAAAGGATGATTCGTGTAACAAATTGATCCCCCATAATTTTGGGATTTCCGAAAATATTCACCTATTTGCACGTCTATGTTGTATTTTTGGTTAGACACGCCGGTACAGCCTAATAAAGAGAAGGAAGTGCAGAAGTAGTAAATGCAGGAGAAAAACAATTAGTGCTGGATTAGGAGCGTTGTTCTCTTCACAATACTCTCCTTTTAAAGATGTTTAAGGTTTTCACTCAATTAGAAATTTTGGTTGGCACCAAATCTTTAGAGAATGGATATGAAAGCTGCTGAACCCCATAAATAAAAGTGTGATTGCACCTGATTGTATGTTTTTATGGAATTCTTTCACGATCCAGGCCACCTCAATATAATATTCAACGTGTTCAAGTGAAAAAAATTGTTACATATTAGCCCTTGTTTGAGCCCCATCTTTTCAAGAATTCATTTTTTTTAAAATTCATTTTCAAACACACGTTCTTCTATAAAATAATTATTCACGTATTTCAAAAACTTTTCCTTACTTTTTAACCGCACATTCTCCAAAAAATCACTATTTCATAAAGCATTTTATCCCAAAAATGGGAATCAAACAGGGGTTAAATTCATCTTACATTCTGATTATACTTGTGTAGATATAAGGGCCAATGCTGGCTCCCTATCAAATAAGAGTTTCTTCTGTGCTTCGTAAACAAGTATGTACTAGATTGGTAGTTTGATCAGATATTATGTTTGAATTGCCTTGAAATTGCAGCCCTCATCTACATGCATCTGTGCACTCGCATGATCCGTGAAAATGCCCTGAAATGTCACTTCTTTCATATGCTTGGCATGTTCCTTTTTTGGCGTTGCAGTAATGAAGAAAGAATTATTGTGAAAACGATCGAGTGAGTTTATTAGCTAAAATTGTCTGTGCACTCGCTCTTATATTGTTCAAATGCATTTTGGCAGGTTTCCTTGTGGGATGGTATTATACCTACCAAGGAACATGCAAAATTTTGGATTCATACGACAAACAAATATCGTTTTATCGACCAAGTAAGTGACTGTCTTGGAGCACTTTTGCATGTTTAATTTTAGTGATTTTCTCATCCACCTTTGTTTCTCGCCCCTTTCTGCATCGTTATAGGGAAGCAACTTGCGGGGTAAAGGCTTCAACTTAACGTTGCATTGGCACATCATGCCAAAGACTGGCAAGATGTTTGCTGACAAAATAGCGATGACTGGTTTCCGCTTGCCGGAGACATATAGATGAGAATGGTATGACATTTGATGTAACTTTATTCTTCCCTTCGTTGACGATACAGTCACTTGGAACGAAAGCAAAGAGAAGAAATAGGGATGAATTAATTATTGACCATCCAAAAGAAATTTTTCATTTACCTTTAGAACTTGAACTTATCAGACAAATGTTTTCTTCTGCTTTGAACTATGATTTTCCAACTATTTTGCTGCATGATAGGTAGCAAAATTATAAATTCACCTGCATCGCGCTATTTTAATTATTTATTCTATTTTTTTTTCCAGTATATTTTAAGAATGAGATTAATCTATAATTTAAAATCAATAACTCGCTTTCAAATCTGAAATTATAGCAGAAAATTGCTATCAGGGCACAAAAGCAAAAATTGTTCAGTGAAATAATTTTAATATAAAGTACGTTAAGGCATGGTGGTTTTTACTCGAGTTAATTTTGTTACAATTTTAAGTTTACACTCAATTAAGTAATTTCAATCGAAATCCAAACATTGTATAAGCGCTTGGCATTAAGTCAACCTACGAGGTGAGATTAATCTTTTAAATATGAGTAATATGTCAAGATTTAAATGGTCATGTTAAGGGGGGGGAAAAAAACAACTTTTAAGGTGAAGCAATCAAATGAATCAATTTATGGACGAATTGGCTCGTTCTTAACTTGATCTGTTTCGACCTTTTACGACGATGTTTTAGACATCAGACCTGACCCTCCACTTCTCGTTGTTATGGTCATGTCTAGAACAAGTGTGAGATGTGATGTGTCGTTTAACAAGATGAGAAGATGGAAGAGAGGTGGAGGAATATAGCAAGTGATTCTTATTAGAATTAAACCTCTTTGTCAGAAAGAAATTGACATTCTAGTTGATATATACTCGCATGAGAATGAATTTATGTGAAACCTATATGAATAAAAAAAGGTCAAAAAAACCTTTCACTCCTCTCTATTGTGAGTATGCTGTCAGGAATAGTGTCAAACCCTCCCTGACAGCATAGCAAAATTGTTCTTATTATCGACTAGTTAATAGTTATATGGACTCAATACCGTTTGTTGATAATCATGACTCATTTTAATGTTAAATAATTTTGTTTATCTACATATAATATTCCGTACAATTTACTATTTATAAACACTTCAAAAGCACGGCCAAGGATAGAGTATATTTTAAGCGGAGGGATAAGAGGTTGATCTGCAAAAGAACCCTCTAAGAAACAATCAAACACCGACACAAAACACATATTAACATTAATTGTCCCGAAAACAAAATCTAACGCGGAATTAACTTCACCAGTTGGAATGGCATGGCCTTCATCTTCTCCTCCTCCACCCTCAAAACTACTCTAATCCCACTGATCCTTCTCACGACCCTCCTCTTCTTCCTCCTAATCCCTCTTCCATCTCCAGGCTACCCTTCAACATTTTCCCTAATTCCTCGCAGGTACCTTCTGAAGAGCAATTCCACTAGCCTAGTCTGTTCTTTTTCCAATCTTACTTCTTCTGATGGATTGTTCAATTATTCCTCTTTCCATTTCTGCCTGTTCAGAGAAAACCTATTTTTCTCTATCTCATTTCTCACTCTTCTTCTTCTCTTGCAATTCTATATCTTGGTCAAAACAGCACAGGATCGGTTCTCAGTGGTGGTTACTAAGCTTTCTACCCATTTGAAACTGTCCCCTTCAGTGGGTGCTGTTACCCTTTTGGCTTTGGGAAATGGGGCCCCCGATGTGTTTGCATCTGTGGCCGCTGTTCGAGGGGGCCAACCAAGAACTGGTTTTGGCGCAATTCTTTCAGCTGGGACTTTTGTGTCTGCATTTGTTGTGGGTTTTGTTGCAATTTATGCCGCGCCATTCGCGGTGGATCCAGCGCCATTCATAAGAGATGTGCTGTTTTACTTGACTGCTGCTTTGTTTCTGTTTTATGTTTATTTGAGTGCTGAGATTTTCTTGTGGCAGGCGATTGGATTTGTTGGATTTTATCTGTTCTTTGTTGGGTTAGTGTTTTGGATGGATTTGGGATATAATAGTGGGAGCAAAATTATAAGTGCAGCTGGTGAAGAGGTGGGATTGGTTAATGATGGAGAGGTGCGTAAAGGTTTGAAGGAAATGGATTGTGAATATGGTGAAGTGAAGGGGAAATTGGAAGACAGAGTGAAGCCGAAAAACACGTTCTTGCAAGTCATTTGGAAGGTATGTTTTTTAATGAATTAAGTCTTTGTTCTCTTTGTGATTTGGTCATTTTCAAATGAAGGTTTTATTGTTGTCAAAGATAATGAAGTGCTGAGATTTATGTGCATTCAGTCTTTTTGTTTAAGTCTTTTTTTTTAATCATCTTTTGCTATATTGCAATTTGGATGAGAGCTTTTTATTGATGATTCATGTTAAGTTTTATATGCTTTTCCAGCTATCTGTAAATGTTATCATTTAGCCTTAAACCCTTAACCCTATTTAGGAATGCATATAATTTATACTGGCATAGAGTTGATGTTGCTTGAGCGCGTTGAAAGTGGAGAAAGTGTGAACAAGCTTCGTAAGCTCTATAGCCCCAACGCATTGTTTGATTTAGTTCAATTCGTTGTTTGTATTAGAATTTTACCTCTATGATGGTGTAATCACCTTCTAAAACATTCTGATTACTTTCTATAGATGAGTATGACTATTAAATTGGGAATCTGTTAAACAGGATAGAAATAATTTGTAGTAACTGCTAAATTCAATCTAGATCTAGGTCTTTAGTCCGTAGAGAGGCAATACAAGAGATTTCATGACAGCAGAGTGGGCTTTGGAGTTTTACGGCGGATTCATTTATTTCATCTTTTCCATACTTAAGCTCAAGCACCTGTACTCTGTAGTCCTACTTTCGTGCTCTAAGCCTAATCCTGCGGTGAACTGAAATTGTTTGCCTTTGCAGTTTGGGTGTTTCTGATACACCATTCTAGGCGTTAAAGAAAAAGTAGAATAGAAGAGTCCATTAAGAAAGTTAAGATACAAAACATATAAAGCTATTGAGAGAAAGTTAAGATACAACACAAGTGCCAACACGCCTCTGCCAATTGGTCATCCTCACTGAAGCACTGTGCAAGATGTTGAGCATGTCCAGTGATAAGATTCTCTAATTCTCTGCCAATCGGTCATCCTCACTGAAGCACTGGTAGACTATTTTGCTTCTGTTAGTAAGCAAAGTATGGCTTGAATATGAAATCTGTATGATGACATTTCACTGGTGTCATTGGTTTGTTCCTAAGGTTTTGTTTGCTATTTGAGGGCAACAATTACCTTTATAACAAATCAAGATCTTAGTTATGCAGTCATTTTCACAGCGTCCGGGTCTAGCATAAGTGATAACTAGCCTTCAGTATTATCTTGTTTATTAACAGATCGGGAGGTAAGTATGCATTGGCAAGTGGGTTATTAATTGGTGCTTGTTTCCTAAACATGGCTCATGGCTGCATCATCAAATTATACTTGAGACTGATGTATTGCCATGATTTCCTTTTTATGTTTCTTTCCATATGTTATATCACAACATGTCAATTAAACACTGCTTTCAAACAAAACATTGGCTTCTTGCATTATGCCTGTGAGGATTCATTAAAAGTTTGCATATTGTTCCGGGGTGTATATGGAAATAGATAGGACTGTTTTCTTGGGGTTTCTAATGCTTGTTGTCCTGCGTTTATTGCTCGTGTGCTGAGGATTAGGAGCACTTGATGTAATTGTAATGAAAATAGAGATGGTTCCCCAGTTGTTGGACTAATCAATTTTCGAATAAATTTTCTCTGCATACAAGCAATTATGGATAAGCTCAAAGGTGTGTTGAGCAATAAGCACCATTACTAGCAGCTTCAGTTTCCTGCTGTAAGAAAAATCAAATTTCATAGAAGATTCTTTTGCGCTTTATGTATAACAAACTACTGACTTCATTCCTCTTTTGCTACACCACCTATACACATTCTCACATATAGGCCTTCCTATTTTCGTGAAATTCCAGCACGTGTGGAATGTTTACGAGAGCCTTGGGGGAAGAGGGACTATATTCAAAACCATATAGATAGAATGAGTTTTTTTATAATTATTTATCAAAGTTAGCCCTTGTTTGGGTACCATTTATAAGTTGTTTATAACCAGTCAAACTTCTTTTTATCCACATTTTGTGGGATCCACAACTATTACCATTTATAATTTAAATTGCCATTAAACAACTTCCAAACGTGCTTTTAGCTTCTGGTTCTTCTTCTTTTTTTTTTTTTTTTTAAATTTTTCCTGGGAGTAAATTTATGCGTCAAATGAGGTGGAATTCAGGTAATAAAGGTTGTTCCAGATACTGCTAAGTAGTAGAAGCAATGATTCTCAGAACGTGAGAAAATTGCCTGTCAAAATGGATAGCAATGTAATTGAGAGTTTGTGTTTGCCTCTACTTCCATTTATATTTTCTCTATTGATTTTAGTGACATGATCTTCTAACTCGTGCAGTTGAAATAAGATAGAAGTTAACTGTTATGTGCACTTATCCCCATATTGTGTACTTCCTTGAAGAAAAGAACCAGGAATAGTTGTAAACTGCACGGAGAATATTCTTCTTCTTGTTACTGTATAACCTATCAGTTTTTAAGTTGGTTTTGCTGCCTTCATGTTGTATTTACCGTCAATACTGATTGCTTGTTGGTTGACATCTGAATTTGCTAATGGGTTACATTGTGCTGAAATTCATCCAGTTTTCACGTAGTCCTATAGACACAAGGTCTCCAGTGGAAAATGTTAAAACTTACCGGTTCTTACAAATGAATTTATAGATAGCCTTTTTTTTCCAGTCTTGATAAAGGAACTTTTTCATGGTCGCCTATGATGAGGCAAGCTACATTTCCTTGTGTGCTGAATGTGTTTGGATTGATATAAAAATAAAGCCAGGTGCTCATAAAATAAATTTTGGGGTTCTCTACTCTTTTTTGATAGAGCTGCTGGGCAAGATTGGTTGACTTAATGACATTGAGATCATGTATACATGCACATATAAACGAGGCCTTTAGTGTAATTGAATTAGTGAACATTTCGTTCCTGAAAAGATCTTAGATTAATCACACACACACATGAAGAGAGAAGGGAGGGGGCGATATTTCTAGCTGAAATTAGTTATCTAATTTAAGAGTGGCTGGTATGCAAATTGGTGTAGTACGAATAATAAATAATAAAGAAGGAGAAAGGGGGAGGAGAAGGGGAGAGCCGAGAGGGAAGACAGAGAGGAAAAAACGGCTACGGCCACTTTATTATTCAATCAAATTCATCAACTGCCGAATTACAAACCAATGATAGGTTTAAATAATGAAAACGTAGAAATATAGGGCCAAGCCCATTATTTAAGTCCTAATTAAAATACGTAAACTTAAATAAAAGTCCAACTGAAACAATAATAAAAGTCCAACTAAAATACTGAAACAATAATAAAAGTCCAACTATAAGGATGTCCTCATCAACTCTCCCGGGGTGGGAGAAAACTCGACCCTGTCGAGTGGATATATCACCGTAGACTCTCGTCAATCTCCTAACCATAAGCTGAGTGGTTGGGCAAGTTTCTTCCGGCGTCTGTAGAAATGCGTCAGTGGCGGTCTGAACTTGGTGTCCTCATCAACTCCCCTCGGGTGGACGGGAGGCGATCTGGGCCAAGGAAGATCCTGCTGACTCCAATAAAGCTCTAGTAAATCTGGATTCAAATGCTATAGTGTCTCCCTGGAGATCCATGCACAATCAGAATCTAGTCGACCAACCCAACGAACAAGGAAGCGCTGAACCTCTCCATCATTTGTGAACATAGTTTCTTCATCTAAAATAGCATCAATTTTATCTGTGTGTGCTGTGAGAGGTGGTAGTGGGTTAGAGGGGGCCAAAGAATTAGGATCAAGTTCCACAAAAGGAGGTAACAGGGGATCATCTGAGGGAATGAAATGGCCTTTATAAGCTACAAGGTCTTCAACATTGAAAGTATGGTGGTAACCAATGTGGGATGGAATGTCAACAATATATGCATTTGGACCAACTTGCTTTAAAATTTTAAAAGGACCAGCACTACGAGCTTGCAATTTGGAGGCGGGTTCATGTAGACGCCGCTTTGGCCTAATGCGAACCATAACGTAATCCCCAACATTAAACTCAATATGTCGTTTATGTAAATCAGCTTGTAGTTTATAATTTGCATTAGTAGCTTCAAGTTGTTTATTGATCTCAATGTGCAAATCACGAAGGTGTTGTGCAAATGCTTCGGCTGATACTGACACTCTAGCTTGTGGGGACAGAGGGATGAGATCTAATGGTTTCCTAGGCTTGTATCCGTGAACGGCTTCAAATGGACTCATACCTAATGAACGATTTACGGAGCTATTATACGCGATCTGAGTGACAAGAAGGATTAAATCCCAATTTCGAAGGTTCTCCCGGACCAGACAACGTAATAAGTTACCAAGACTCCGATTAACAACTTCGGTCTGACCGTCAGTTTGAGGGTGGTAGGCTGTAGAAAATTTTAATTTGGTGCCCATCTTATGCCACAAAGTCCTCCAAAAATGGCTAGTGAAGCGGACGTCCCTATCGGACACGATGGTTTTGGGAAGTCCATACAGTTTGACAATCTCATTAAAGAATAACATGGCATCCTTGGACGCATCCGATGTTTTGCTACAGGGGATAAAGTGAGCCATTTTCGAGAAACGATCGACAACCACGAAAATAGAATCATGCTTCTTTGGGGTGCGTGGCAGTCCTAGCACAAAATCCATACTAACGTCTTGCCAAGGACAATTGGGAACGGGAAGAGGAGTGTATAGGCCTGTGTTCTGCTTCTTCTGTTTGGCCAATTGACAAGTGTTACATGTACTAACAATTTTA